GGCGGCACCCAATGCCTTCAGGTGGAGACGGGCGTGCGTTGGGGAAATCGCCACACGGCTCTTCAGGTGCGACCGCCGGCCAGAAACATCCAGTATTTTACGTAACTTTTTCCAGTCTCTCCTCGGAAGGGGAAAACACCTGGCGCTCAGGTTGCTGCTGCTGAAGCACTTGGGCTGTCGCTGTCGACAAGGGCAGCCGCCATGGCTGACGGCAGTGCACAGCTCAAGGCGTTCGTCTGTTTGTTCACCCTAACTCGTGATTTTTCCGAGCGCTGAAGTACGAGGTGAGAGGGACTAGAAAGTGTAGAAGCCAGACAGTTCTGTGACATCAAATCTCTGAGGCACTGAAAATGGGGTATTCAGCATGAGACATTTTTCGAGAAGAGGTGTTTTTGCAGAAATCAGGAACACGTGAGTTATTATTAATCCATCATGGCAACAGAAAACTGACATTTCTTAAGATTTCATTTCAATGGACTCAGTTGAACCAGTTACACCACAAGCTTTCCCAAGGCTGCTCAGTGCATGATGATTACTCACAAAGAAAGTTTCTGTGATGTATCTCTGAAGTGAACGCCTCACTTAGGAAGCCTCTCCAAGAATCTTGAAGCACTCAATGAACTTTGACAGACATCCCTTGGGAATTGATTTCCATCCTTGTTTTACAAAGCAATCGCACATGAAGCTGTTTATTCCCACTGAAAAGTGGGACTGGATGTGAAATACTTTGAGAATAAAACATATGGCCCCTCGTTACCTGTCCCACGACTTTGCCTTGGGATCACTTTTGGGATATAATGTTTTTTCTCTACCTGATCCCAGCCTGAATGCTGTTGCAGCTGCTAGTTTCTGCCTTTAAGGAACTCGCCAAAGGTTGATGCCAGTAAGGGCAGGGTCAGAGGTAGCAGTGGGAGGTTTTCTACTTTGCTCATGGTAGGTTGCCCTGTAGATTGTAACAGCAGATTAGCCACCTGGAAAGTTTTCTGTTTACTTGTTTTAAAGCCTACAAATGCATAGATAACTACATGGTCAGGAGATGTAGTACAAACAAATACAGAGATCTATGGGCTGATTCCGTTTCACCTGTTAGAATCAGTCAGATACAAACAGCTAATGCCTGGCTTGGATTTTCTGGAGGTTGCATTGCAGAAGAACATAAGGGTTATAATTAAGTGCATTTAGCAAAATATCAAAACAACTGTAGTTAAGTTTTAGCATGGAATTCATACCAGGTACTGCTCTGCTCCAGCTGTGCAGTGATGCAATACAAAAATACCGCTGCCTTGCACTGATGAAGTCACAAAACCAGCTTGAAACGCAACATGAACGCCCTATACTTTCCAAACTTTTTCCTACCATTTTTGGCAGTGCATACAAATAGATTGAAAAAGCTGAAGCAACAATTTCCAGGATACCAAACTCTTATAGGTACATTCTAGTGATAGGACAAGGGGTAATGGGTATAAATTGAAATCAGGGAGGTTTAGATTAGATGTCAGGAAGAAATTCTTCACAGAGAGGGTGGTGAGGCACTGGAACAGGTTGCCCAGAGATGTTGTGGATGCCCCATCCCTGGAAGTGTTCAAGGCCAGGCTGGATGAGGCTTTGAGCAACCTGGTCTAGTGCAAGGTGCCCCTGCCCATGGCAGGGGGTTTGGAACTAGATGATCTTTAAGGTCCCTTCCAACCCTAACCCTTCTGTGATTCTATGATTCTATGATTCATTCAGGCTCTTTCATATGACTCAAGATTTTCACTCTTTCAGAAAGAAATACTTTTGAAGTGCCAAAAGAAGCAGCTCTATTCTGAGAAAACTCAGAATGCTGGATTCTTCCCTGGGGTGAGAGGGAATTAAACCTGCAGGGCTTCTCTTACAAGGGTTGTATTTGGGGAAAAAAGAGAGAAAGACTGAGCAGTCACATATAAAACAAGCCAGTAGGAAATCATCTCTGTAGCGGAAAGAGCTGAAGTCTCTGTTTTTTCATGTGGTAAACGCTCTTAGCAGCCTAAACTGCACTTTTCTAAACCTTTGCCTCAGTAGTGGTGCATTTAAATAATACATATGCATGTACACATTCATGCGTGACCAGGGAAGTGCAGACTGCCTCGGCAAAACAGCGAGGAAAGAAATCTGCAAAAGAGCTCTGCAGGCGGGCTGAAGCAACTGGAGATGGAAGAACTTGGTGCTCTGCACGGGGACACTGATAGCCCCTGCCGCAGTCTCCCAATGTGATTTCAGACAAATTTCCTACTTGTTTCTGCACGGTATCACAGAACGGTTTGGGCTGGAAGGGACCTTAAAGACCATCCAGTTCCAACCCCCCTGCCATGGGCAGGGACACCTTCCACTAGACCAGGTTGCTCAAAGCCTCATCCAGCCTGGCCTTGGACACTTCCAGGGATGGGGCATCCACAGCGTCTCTGGGCACCTGGGTGGTGCCTCACCACCCTCTCCAGGAAGAATTTCTTCCTGATATCTAATCTAAACCTCCCCACTTTCAATTTAAACCCATTGCCCCTTGTCCTGTCACTACAGGCCCTTGTAAAAAGTCCCCCCCAGCTTCCTTGTAGCCCCTTCAGGCACTGGAAGGTGCTGTAAGGTCTCCCCGGAGCCTTCTCTTCTCCAGGCTGAACAAGCCCAACTCTCTCAGCCTGTCCCCATAGCAGAGGGGCTCCAGTCCTCGGAGCATCTTCGTGGCATCCTTAATGATGAAGTAGATGGATTTCATTATCCAACTCATTTGAGATGAGGCAGTTACACAGAGCTGACAAAGACATTCCAGGTCTTTGTAGACAGTCGTGGGTGTAGGTGCTTTGCTCATAAACTGACCACCCCCCCCCACCTTGAAGACAGAAATTCTTCCCTCATTTCTCCTTTGGAAAGGCTGTTCAGTAGCCTCACTGTCCAAGTTCTGCTCAGATTGATGGACAGCTCAGTTTACTAGCATTAGTTTTCCCAGATTATCTGAAATCTTTGGACACTCGATGCAGGTGTACCTACTTGCTTCTTACCTAGCCCAGGAGCACGATTGGTAGGACTCAACATTTCGTGGTCTTTCCTGATGTGTGGTTACGGTTGCCATGTTGTGGCCACCCGGAAAGGTGCTCAGGTAGTGCCCTCACCCAAGAGGGAGCTGAGCTTAGTTAAATGTGCCTGAACAGCCAGGGTTTGTTAGCACTGCCTTCAACAGCGTCTTGGGAATCGCAGCTACCTTCTCAGCAGAATGGGATGCCAAGGTCGATATGGTTTTGTAACAGTTAATACAAATGGGAAACTTAAGGAAGTGTAACAACCAACATTTGTTTTATTCGAGGGGCAATGGCCAAGCCATTCAGGAGGAATTAATTTTCAGGATTTGGCTACAGAAGAGCTCTCCAATCTTGCCTTCCCCATGCCCGGCAGCGGGGTTTCAGCAGATGCCATCCATCCTTTGGTCTTTGAAGCTGGGTTCCTTCTAGTGGCATGAAGAGGAGCATCGATTCTGTCTTATTGACTGATCTCGGTCCATAGTAGGGGCAGGGGGAAAGAGAACACTGCAGGGTGCTACCAACTCACTCCAGGAAACACGGACTTTTCTTCTTCTGGCTAGTAGCCTAGGATTCTTGTGTACCACAGGTTCTTTATTTTTTCCATCAGCTGTTCAGCCAGTATACTGAGTTTAGTTGTTTCTCTGATGAGGAAGTTCCTGAAGGAGACAAATACGTGATGGTGAGCTCCGTCTGCTATAGTTATCACCCTGCCTGTCACTGAGGCTGCAAAGCTCCTCAGCAGTCCTAGAGGGACTTCCCTCAGAAGGCAGGGATAGGCAGTATGTGTTTGACATGAGTTACATGGAACTGTATCTCTTGGGTCAGTGTGCTGTTCCTTTTGGGAGGAAACTCGCTTCTTTGAGGAACATTTATTTATAGCTAGCACCAATTCTATGATTTTCTCTGATTGACAGCAGCGTTTCCCAGCACCTTCAGTGCTTGGTCCCTCACAGACAGCACCACAGCACCTTTCCAAGGGGGCTGATCCCCTCCCCCCAGCCAGTGGCCCCCTCCCTCACCACCCATGTGTAAAGAGCTGTACCTGCTGTCCCCATGAGCACGTCTTCAGTGTGCATCCTGGGCAAGAGCTTGCACTTTTATGTGAAACCACTCCCACTCCACCTTTCCAGCACCCCACTCCCATCGTAGTCACATCAGGCTTTGGCTGCTGATCCATTTCCCCTTGAGTCTCCCCGAATAGATACTTGGTCAATCTGTTCTTTCTCCCACACCCCCTCTCCCTTTTCACCCATGGCTACTGTGGCACTAGCGCAGAAGATCTTTCCATACCTGGTCACAACAACTGCTGGAGTCTGGGCAGCATCCACCAGGAACTGACCGACCCTAGGGGACATCTTGTTCACCGTTTCATAGATGTAAGCTGCAATTGCGTCAGGGATGACCAACCAGTCACGACGATCTTTCTCAAAGATGGACTTTGAGTGCACTTCTGGGAAAGAGGAGGCAGAAAACCGTGAGGCTTTTCCAGTCATTTGGGTCTCTGACATCTTCCCCCAGGCACAGAGGGAAGAGACTCGAAATTCTGAGATTCCAAGCCTTCCCTCAGAATTCTCTCTAGCAGCATCCAGCAGCACCTCATCACTCATTTTTGGGCATCTAGGTCATAGGCCTTACATGGCAGAGTATTTGCACCAGGTACAGAAAATTTCCATGCCAGGTCCCTACTGACTTGTTTCACGCTTCCAAGCACCGCGTATTCATAGTTCTGACCTGTGCTACTGGGCTTCAGTCCTGCTTTATGGATGGGTCAGACTTCTGTAGGGCAAGTGAGAACCCGTAGAGCTAAGCCCTGTCTCAGGCAGGCAGGAAAGCTTTCTGGACTTACCGGGGAGAGTGGTGCTAAGGAGCAGAATCAGAGCTATCACCAACGCCCTGGATTGCAGCATGGCTTGCACCACCGGTTCCGTTCTTTACACCGAGACACCTGCTGGAGTCAGCATACAATATTTTGTTTGTTTTCAGAGAAATAAAACATGTCAGTTAAACACCAGAGTTTTGTAACAAACCTGACCGACGAATGAAGGATGGAATGGAAAAGATCATAGTGCATTTCCTCTGAAAATGTGAGGAAAAAACATTATCAAAATGAAGGTGTACTTTTGTGTGTATTTTCACAAATATCCACAATGAATGATAGCTTTTAGAGTTCCAAGAAATATGTGACAGTTAAAGTTACTTCTTTATATGAGAGCTGAAGTTCCTTTTTTTTGGCGTAAGAGAGAACCACTACAACTGCCAGAGGTCAGAACAGGTTTCCTCCAAACACAGGTACCACTGAAAAATACATAATGTGGGATATTTTTGGGGTTGGGTTTTTTTTTTTTTTTTTTTGGTAAATAGCTCTGAAGAACACTGCTGGTCAGTGTGTCACATACAACGGTGTGACCTGAGTATTTTGTCTTGCTCTAGCTGAGGAAAGACCCAACTGGGCTCTCTTCTCTTTTCCACACTGGGATTAACAAAGCAGATAGTTAACAAGTTCTCAAAGGAGAGTAAGTACAAAGTGAACCTCAGCCAACCTCCTTTATTCTCTCTATTAAAAAAGCCAGAATGAGGAAGTCTGGAAATGACGGTACTTGGCACGTTGAAAAGATGACATTACATCTAAAGAAGCTCTTCAAACGTGCTGCACTTAAAAAGATGTTTAGAAGTTAAACCTGATGTATACCCTGAATTAGAGGGCTGCATCACTCAGAGTAACATGAAGAAAACATTGCCGTGCTAGGAACTGCAATGGCAACAAGGCTGCAAGTCTATCACGGGTGACTGGTTTTCTAAATCCTGTTCAGGTAGTCAATGCTACTTCTTATTCCACAGTAAGGAAATTTCCATCCATTTTTATTGCCTTCTGTGCACAGATTACCTCCCAAAGCTACCACTTTCATCTTCACTAGACATTTCCTGAACAGCAGCACTTGCTCCGTTACCACAATTCCTTGATTTTAAATCCTAGAGCCAGTTTTTCCTTCCGTAGACAAAAGCTATACATTTGCTTCCAAAGAGCACAGAGAGGATCTTGCCTGCTTCAGAGCCTGTAGTCCCTGTGGTGAAGGCCGCTGGGAAAAGTCTATGTATCTTCCAGCACTGAAAGTCTGCAATCCCTGCCAGGGGCTTGACCCTTTCATGAGTGTCCTATGGAGCATCCATCACCCAGCTTCACTTCAGGTCACCTCAAGCACTCCCACACTTCTCCATTTCAGCAACATTCCTGGCTATGGAGTAGGAGAAGGGCTCATGCCTTGGCTTGCAATAAGAAATGGGGCAAAATAGAAGACCACCTCCGCTCACTTATGTCCTAGAGAGACCAGTCACAAAGCCCATACCACCCAAACAGAGAGTTCAGCTCTTACCTGTCCTGCTTTCTCCCTCTTTCTCAGGCCGAAGCGGAGGTAGATGCTCATCGGAGACACCGGCATTTATGCAGAGCTAATATAGCGATAGCAAGGGGTCAAAGGTCCTGCTTTGTTTCCCCACTTGCTCTTTTGCAAGCAGATCCAGCTGAGTGGGACAGGCAAGAAGCTGGGGGGGGACTCTGGACCTGTTGTTGAGATTTGGTATCGGAGGGTCAGTCTGACCTGAGCCTAAGAGACGTGGAAGGCAGCTCCTGGGTCACTGAGTCCCCTACAGGCTACCATGTCATAGAGGCCCCTTTCATAAGTTGACCAAATTCCACATTAGCAGTGGCTAGACCTGAGCTGAATTTTGTTCCCACTGTGCCATAACCTCACTGCTCTGGCAGGTGGAACTTATTTGTGGCTAAAACCCTATTTTACCCTCCACTTCCAACAAATGCACTAACCAGGTGGTGCACAGGGCCTGAGCTGAATTTTGTTCCCACTGTTCCTGTGGGAAGGCCTGCGCCGTAACCTCACTGCTCTGGCAGTTGGAATTTATTTGTGGCTAACACCCCCTTTTGTATTTTACCCTCCATTTCCAACAAATGCACTAACAGGTGGTGCACAGGAGTATGCGTGCACCCCCCTCACATTCCTTCTTTCCCAGTGTCCGAGCCATTTTGCACAGGCTGACAAGATGGGCATACATCTGAGCCAGCTGCCAAATTTTGCCCAGGGGAAACATCCAGCTCTGGGGCTGCCAGCAAAAGACAGGCATGGACTTGTTAGAGTGGGTCCAGAGGAGGCCATGAAGATGCTCTGAGGGCTGGAGCTCCTCTGCTATGGGGACAGGCTGAGAGAGTTGGGCTTGTTCAGCCTGGAGAAGAGAAGGCTCCGGGGAGACCTTATAGCACCTTCCAGTACTTAAAGGGGGCTTATAAACAGAGAAAGGCTTTTTACCATGGCCTGTAGTGACAGGACAAGGGGAAACTCTTTTTAAGCTGAAAGAGGTTGATTTAGATTGGATATAAGGAAGCAATTCTTTGTGATGAGGCGGTGGGACACCGGAACAGGTTGCCCAGACAAGGTGTGCACACCCTGTCGCTGGAAGCGTTCAAGGTCAGCTTGGATGGAGCCTTGAGCAACCTCATCTAGTGAAAGATGCCCCAGCCCAAGGCAAGGGGCGGGGCGGTGAGATGATCTTTAAAGGCCCCTTCCAACCCAAACCATTCTATGATAAATTCTCCCCAGGCTCCCTGGGGACCCGGTCCCAGGCAGAAAGTGATGGCATTCCCGCTGTAGAGCGTGCTTTCCCACAGCTCAAGTTCCAAGTGCCCGCTGGGTCTTCAGTGGGGCCAACCCTCTGTATTTGGCACATGCAACCACTGCGCAGCAGGAGGAAGAGGCAGAAAGGCTGTAACGCTGAGCTGCAACGGGCATTAGCTAAGGGGAATGGGTGGGACGTGAGGCAAATGAATTAAGCCACTGGTGTGAGACCCAACAACTCTGTTCCTCTGTCCCTCTGTCAGCCACTTAGGTGACTGTCACATCTGAGAAGTGGGAAAAGCTCAACTGCCATAGTTATTTATCAAACAATCAGATTTTTCTCAAAGACTTTCCAGCTCATGAAGCTCAAAGCACTTGGGAACCAAACAGTCAGTGTTCTTGTTTCACAGACGTGGCAGAGAAATCTGCAATTGCTGCAGTGGGTCACTTCATTGGAGAGGGCTGCCGATGGTTTTCCAGAGATTTTTCCACTCTCTTGGTATTAGAATCACAGAATGGTTAGGGTTGGAAGGGATCCTAAAGACCATCCAGTTCCAACCCCCCTGCCATGGGCAGGGACACCTTCCACTAGACCAGGTTGCTCCAAGCCTCATCCAGCCTGGCCTTGAACACTTCCAGGGATGGGGCATCCACAGCTTCTCTGGGCAACCTGTCCCAGTGCTTCACCACCCTCTCCGGGAAGAATTTCCTCTTGATATCCAATCTGTCTCCCCACTAACTTACGCCTGTTGCCCCTTGTCCGGGCACTACAGGCCCGTGTAAAAAGTCCCCCCCAGCTGCCCTGTAGCCCCTTCAGGTACTGGAAGGTGCTATAAAGTCTCCCCGGAGCCTTCTCTTCTCCAATTTGAATTGATTGAAATTATCTTCTTAGAAAAAAAAAAAGAAAAACTCTCCCAAAATATGAAGAACAAAAAAAGAGTCCCCCATACAAAGAAACCATTTTGCATTTTTGTCCAAAATATAAAATCGAGGAAGAACACACAAGAGCAACTGGTTGAAAAGTCTCTTGAATTTTAATTTTACATTTGATAGTCATGGAAGAGAATCTACACATCTACCATCTGGTTTTACAGCTGGAATAATATTCCAAAGACCAGAACAAGGCACATTATAGGCACTAAACTCAGCAGAAATAGCAATGAGCAGCCGTTACTTGTGGGGGTTAATTTAATACCTCCTCAAGTGTCATCTCCCTCCTACATCAGGTCGACAAATGGAAGTGTCTAACCACACTAAGCGGGTGTTTTAAACAGATGTGCTGCTGGAGGTAGTAACTCAGAGGGGATATAGCTGCCTGTGCAGTGACACGCACCGCTGAAGGGCTTTGCATTGTGGTGGTCCTCACCCAAGGCAACTTCTCCCCGCCCCGAAGCTTTTTCCATCATGAATACAATCCCAGAGATAGCGACTGGGCATTTCAGCACTTTCCACTGCCAAGCGGGCACTTGCCAAGACCAGATCGATGATTGCACAAGAAGAAGCCCTTGCCCTCCATTCCTGGAACGGCATTCCGGAATGGCAGGGCGCTCTGCAAATAAGCAAGAAAGCCAGATATTGCAAGTCCTTTCTTAATCAAAGAAAAATTACATGATTTTTTTCTCTCTCTTATGGATCTCTGGTCTGAGGTAGAGAGCAGCTGACAGGAGCAGCACAGGTGTCCTTATCTGCCCCATGTGGCACGGTTACTTGCTCCTTACGTTATTATTTTGAATTGGGGTAACTCCGGTGGCTATCGAGGCACTTTATCTGAGACAGAGAATTCATTCTTGGCTGTAGGGTATGTTCCTTCAACTTCATGACAGAAAGAACAGAAGTCTAGAATGGGAGAAACTCCCGAACGTGAACAATACTCAACTTTTTTCATCCCAAATGGGCTGACATACGTACATCAGCTCTTTGGAATGGCTGAAAAATTAAGCATTAATAAATTACAACCTAGAAAGAACAAGGCTAGGGTACTTCCTACTGTTTTTTTCTTTCAGTGTGCACTATTTCAGCTGCTCAGTTCTCTCTCTCCCTTTTAAAAAGTCAAAGACCCTGTAATCTTACTGGAAAAAAAAGTCTGCATAGAATTGTGCAGTGCTGTCACAACGGCCTTCAAGTATAGCCAATTAAAAGTAGAAATAAGCATTCAAAGCAGAGCCTATTTCCTTCCCTCTTTTCTTTCTGCTTGCAGTTGTAAAGCATGCATATATAGATTTCCTTTGTAATTATTTCACAGCCCACCAACTGGTGTTTTATGAACCACAGTGGTCTGTGGACCAGTAAACCTGGTATCATTTCTGCTTCCCTGCTGGATAACCTAATCTACTTCTGTCACAATTGAAGAAGTTACAGAATTAAGACAGAGATACCATCAATTTTCCCTGAAGAGTTTTGTTTAATGTTTCTATAAATATGAACAAAGTGACTGAAGAGGAGCTCAAGTATGATAAAGATAAAGCTCTTCAGACTTCACACAGCCCCAATTGCGCAAATTCACACAATCTACAATTAGTCACCCTAGCTCAATTACGGGGACTAGAGGAACAAATAAAGATGGAGGGCTCCTTCACAGCGTTTAGATAAAAAAGCACAACCTCTGAAGTTTGTGTGCTCACACTACAGCAGCAGCAGCAGCTGCTGCGACACAAAGTCACCCAGGTTCTCTTGCTGTGTGAGGGGGTTCTTGCTCTTGGGAAAACTTGCTAGACACGTGTTGGCTTGTAGACACTTGAGTGTGAAA